TCCTGGGCGTGTTCCAGCCCAAGGCAGGACGAGCAGACCTGGTGTGAGTCCGTGCTCGAAATCTTAAACCCGCAGAGCCGAGTCTCCGAGCCTCCGTCTCCTCCGGTGTGAGGGAGAGAAGGGTCCATCCTCGTTAGCCGGGGTGTCGGCGTGGAGGGACAAACTAGTAACAGGTATGTTACCGTTTGAAAGAAAAAATCCAAACCTTATCTTTATTCCAAAAGGAAAAAAGCGGCGGGCAGATTTTTTTAATATTAACTGGTGTGTTAATATATTTTATCTCCGTCTCCTCTGGTGTGAGGGAGGGAAGAATCCGTCCTCGCTCGCCGGGGTGTCGGCGTGGAGGGATAAACTAGTAACAGGTACGTTACCGTTAGAAGAAAAATCAAAACCTTACCGTTATTCCGAAAGAAAAAACGGCGTGGCAGATTTCAATGTTAACTGGTGTGTTAATATTCAATTCAATCTTCTTGCAAAGCAAGAGTAGCCGGCAAGCGCCCGTCGAACGAAAGTTAGCTTGTGGTTCAGTCTGTGGACAGTCAAGCTAGCCCGGCTACTGATATATTGAGATGTGCTCCGAACGAGAAGAGGTGTTTGAATGACGCTGCGACGTAGCGCAAGCTACTTAAAGGGTGGGTGGATTCCCTGACGTAGACGTCAAGATCACCAGCCAATCAGGATTGGCGTAATGAGATTGATGCTTCTGTTTGCATACGCGTTGAGGCGCATCCTATAGTGAGACATCGAACGGAGTGTTATGAATGAGAACCACGGATGTCCTTACTGCTCTCTGACACTGGATGTCAGCTTGGTCCTGTTCTTATCTGAAGAAGACACTGTTTTATGAATGTTTTGGGCAAGCCGAATTAACAACTCATCAGGTTCATACAAAGCTGTGGAGCTACAAGGCCGCTTGCCTGCATCAAACAGGGGAGTGAGAGGAGGGGCAATAGCTGGTAGAGCTGTGCACTAAGTGTCAAGACTGAGTCCGTAAACGCAGCCTCCCTGGTTTGATTCTGGTCCTTTGCTGTATGCCATTTTCTCCATACAAGCTATCACTATCAAATGTTAGCCAAAAATATGGCAAATATGCCAAAACATATCTTGAGAAAATAGTGAATGTGAGATTTGCCAAAATTGTGAACAAATTATGAACAATTGTGAAAAATGAATATCTCACAGAGGACAATTCAAATGAGTCAATAGCAAAGACATGTCGATTCAAAGTGTTCCCCCATATTAACACAATTATATATCAGTTAAAATATGTAAATAATTTAAGGTATTCTAAAAGATTGGCAATGTTAAAGTGGACCAATCATGCTATATTTGAATAATATAGTGTAGGACCATACCTATATAAGGCATATTTATACTTTTTATTTTTCAAAATACCAAACAGATCATGCATTTTAGCCATTCCTCATTTCGCTCAATTTAACACTGTCTTTGCATGGGCTGATTCCGTGAGAACAGCACCATCTACAGGTCTGACATATGTACTACAGCGTCTCCAGCGCTTTCGAACGGCAATGTCCGTGGCTGTCTCCTCCTGATTGGTGGAGTTGGCCCAATAGCCGTAGCGCCACTTCTGTGACGTCATAGAAGTGTTCAAATCTGGATCAGTCTCTATCAGATCCGTTGCAGCCCCTTTTTAAGAGATTTGGGTATGGAGGAAAATAGAGAGGGTTGTGTTTTCTGACACTTGGTGAGTTCCCTGGAATATTCATGTATAAAAGACGTACAAAAGTGCATTTTGCATGATAGGTCACCTTTAATGTGTTATTCAACCCATCAATTAAACATTTTTTAGCAGGACCCTTAGCGTTCCCTCTTTCTATCTCAGCTGTGAAAACTGTGACTCTTTTGAACAATGAGAGGGATGATAAACTACGACAGACAATTTATCAGTCTCCCTTGTTATCCACACGCTAGTATTTCTCCTGAAGATGTCTCACCAGACAGGTACAGAGACCTTCCTGCTGCTAATCACGCCTCTAACATATGTCAGCAGGAAAGAAAAACAAAGACTTAACGTTTTACTTTAACAGAACATCCTGATCATCTATCTGTCATTTCCATAATTTACTGGGCAACAACAGACAGGCGTGCAGACACACAGCCCCCACTAAGCCAGCCTGTCCATTATTTTTGAACAACATTCACTAGTCCAGCCCCATAAATGGACACTGTCAAGTTGGTTATTATTCAAAGCTAGAGGATGATTTGATAGGATTCGATGGTGTCCATTCTGCACCAGAGTAGGATGCCTTTCTTAGCTATGAACAAATGCTGGGATGGACAGAGAATGCTTTCTCTTTGTCCTTTTTTAACTACATATTTGAAATTAACTGTCACAGAGACTAAAGTTAAGGGCAACGCTGCAAAAGACAGTCGGTAAAAGAATGAAGTTTGGAATTGCTGCTGTTTCTGTAACAAAGAAGTGTGCAGTAACCCCTGTGATTAAATGTGTGATGTGGTAAAGTCAAACAGCTAAAATAGAGCTGGTGTTTCAATAATTCAAGGTGCAAGGTTTTGATACCAAGATAAATTGAATTCTAAGATTTGCTCTTGGTAAATAATTTATAATTCTATACAGTAAGAGCAACCCAGATAAGTTCCACGGTTCACAGCTCTCCAGGTTACTGTATCACTCATTGGGCCTCCTTTATCGATACGTTGATAAGTTTGTTTGTGTGTTTTTCACCCCAATATCTGAAACTACCACCAATTTTCCCAATGGATCATCATAACATTACGCAACGAGGCAAGTACTGGTGAAAGGCTAAGTGGGTTTATTCATATACTTCTCTTGACAATGTCATTAGCAATTCCCATTAACTCTATTAGAATGCTTGTGCAGCATAAAGCTGTTCGATGTTGACCTTTGCATTAGCAGTGTTGATCCTTGCTAATAGTGCCACTTGACTGACACTGTGTACAGATGTGTTCACTGTGTGACCCCGCGACACCTCACTGCTTCCAGTGTGTAAAAGCTGGGTTAGTTTGTAAGCCCTCATTCCTATCTCAGATGTCAAAGTTTCCTTATTGTAAGATTTGTAAAATGACTTCTATGTGTGATAGATCGAGACCTCATAGCATTTGAAAGGCTTCACGTTGATTAATGGGTATACATGTCACAGTAATCAAGCTTTAATATATGTGTATTTCCAGGTGGCTCTTACACTATGGAATGTATCATGCAGTTAATTACTTATGTACATACTTAAACAGAATATCCTGAACATGATTAAGACACATCAGAAAATAATCCACAGTTGTGCATCTCTTGAACATCCTTAAGTTACGGAACATTAGTATTTATAGTAATTAACATGTCCCATTTATACATTCAAGTCACCCTGCCAACATAGTGTTTGGTTAATTGTGTGTGAAAGCCCAATGTGCCAGGGTTTCAGCATGCAGAAAAATCCTAAAATGCCTTTTGACAGTTGGAGATTGTGTAATAGCTGTTGAATGCAGACAACAGTTGCACTTGAATAAATGCACCTATGTACGCAATTTGATTAATGCCTCTAGAAGTCACAGTGTAGCATTTATTGTAATTTACTATGTGAAAAAAAGTGTTCATCTCTGTAAAGTATTCTTTCTAATGTCTGCTCGTGATTATGAAGTAAACTTACTTTAACTTCAAGGTTATCATTAGTCTAAGAATGATCGTTTTAACCTCATTTTCTTACAATTGAAGATATATACTGTACCTCCTCATTGTAATGTAATAAGTGTCATGTGGTCTGTGGTGTTCTGCATTGCAAAAGATTACATCTGACGACAGCCATAATTTTACCAAATATATAATCCAAAGACTTGTTAACAGGTTTTGTAATGTTGGTGCATATCCAGGCATATAACAACACACATTAATGTAAGCATTATTGTGAGCTACATTACTAGAGCAAAAAAGACAAATGGATGGACAGAATGCAACGTTTCAATGGGAGAAGGTTATTCGGTTTTTTGCTAAACCCTTTTTCAAAATCATTTATATTAATATCTTATTATGATCAAAGGGGGAAAACTGTTGTAATTGAGATTTAAGATGGAGGCAAAATATCGTCGTCTTTTTGAATTCTCTGTCTTTTAACCCACAATCGCTGCTACCAATGACCTGCGTCGTACTAACTGACCTGTAGGTCTCATTTAATCGGCAAGAACACATCAAAGATTAAGATTTTGTAAATAATAGAAATTCACGTCAAATTCTCAAAAAAGACATGATTAGCAGTATAACATAAAGCATAAACACTAAATAATACAAGTTGGGTTTTTACATGTAATTGGATCGGCAGTGATTCTCATCTGGGAATCTATAACCTCAGATTCATCCATGAAAAACGTGCACGTTGAATGTTGCGCCTCATGCAGTCCGAAGCACTCTTATGAATGTATTCATTCGTTCTGTGCTGACAGCAGGTTGTAAATAATAATTTGGCTCACACAATTCGGGTAAGCATATTGTCTGAGGGATAGATTGCTGTCTGAGATTCCTCCGCTGTCTTCCAGTTTTAATTCCCAGACAAATGAGATGTTTGCAAGTTTTGACAGACTGTCTGTCATTCAGTATTATATAGCTTTTGGTGCAAATGTATTTGTGACTGTGTGTGTGTAAGATGGTCTGGGTGTGACACCTCAAAAACAAATGAGTGTTGTTTGAAGAATGTCAAACAACAAATAGGCCGCTTACATACAGAAAAATCACCTTGAAGAAGACATGAGTCCATTTTAACATGGCATGGGAAATAATGTCATGATTTATTCTATGTTGAATGGGTTGTCATTCTGAACAACACAAAATAAACACGTTATGCAAATGCTTAATTAAATACAAAATCATTGTGCACAGCATTTTACTGCAGACGTGCATTAGGGTGTGAGTCAACAGTCCTGCTACACTAGTGCTTCCTCGTGTCTTTTTACGTATTGACTTTTGTCATTAACTCACATGAGTGATGTTAAATGGGAGCAAATGGTGCAGTGAAATGTATAAGAATGATGGCTCCCCTCAGGCCATGAATAACTCGGAGACCTTCACAGTCAGTGAAGCTATCTAAAGGCTTCTTGCATAAACTGCAGAATACATGGAGGATGTGTAAATGGTACCATGCTCTCTCACTCTGTATTTGTGCACACACATGTGTTTATACTGTTAGTCCAGCTCTTCCAAATTGATTTCACTCGGTTTAGCCCCCTGCTCCAGCCCTCCTCCCTCACCAATTATCCACCACCATGTTGGCATCCGCTCTCTGACACGTGGGCTGCAGATGGTCGTCCTGTGTAACACTGCCAGGACAGGGGCAACTGTTACCCGTGCAAAACAAGTCAACGAGACACTTTCATTCTAATGAGTCACTAGAATCACTGTGTCCTGTGAGGGTGTGCATACACAGCAGACCTTTTCATATTTCTGCACAGAGAACACTAAACTGCACAGAGAGTGAAAGACAGACGGCCAGCAAATGTATAATTAATCTGTCTTTTGCCAAGACACTTTCAGTTTTGGATCCAGTGGATCATCCTGAAAAAAAAAATGTTGGCCACATCATGGGACATTTACCTATCATTCCCAGTGTATAATTCTACTGCTCTGACTCACTCGATCACCATTATAGAGCTGGGACTGTAAGGTAATTGGCGACCATATGGGCAGATGGTCCCTTTACTGCATGTGTATCATGTCACAGTGCACATTCAGCTATCCTTCAATTGGTGGAACCTCTGGGCTTAAGTGATCATGAGTAGCACATTCTCATCATGGCCACAATACACAATGTGTTTTTTATTGCATTAAGTTATAAAGGGGGGAAGGGGAGAGCAGTTACTGTGTTGATATTCTGAATATCACAACGTCATCTGGCACTAAAACGTAATCTTAATCGGCTCAATATTTAGCAGTTTTAACACAGGAAAGAAATTGGTTATGACATTGAATTTGGAAGAAGAATTACATAAAATCTTGACTGACCTTCACCAATATAAAAGTGTCATGTAATAAAAAAGCTTTTGCATTCAATTTAAGATTTATTTTGTAAATTAATCTAACTTTTAGGTCTAGCAAGGACGTGTTACAGAGCTCATTGTAATTGTCATTTCTATTGCCAGAATCATAAATAATTCTAAGTGCTATATCATCACCGGCTACACTGCCAGAATTCTGACGGGCAGATTCTGTACTCTAACCTCTTTGATCACCATAATAATACCAGGATAATGTGCTGTATAATATGATGGATTCACTGGCTTGGTGGTTGATTTGGGGCTTCATCAGTCAAATAAGTTTCCAGTAGATTACTTCCTCTCAGCAGGAGAAAGGTCTTATTAAGGCTGACAAACTGATTAGGAGCTCTACTGCCTGCCTTATACCTTCACTGTAATTACTTCTGCCACTGAGGCTATGTGTACCATCCTGTATGCGTGTCACTTCGCTCATTAGCAGGGTATCTTAAAATGTTTGAGTCCGATTTCAATGGAATACAAATGATTTATACCTACACTTTTTAATATTGTAAAGATTAGTAATATAAGACACATATTTTGGCCAATTGTTGCTCTTTTCTTTGCACATACTGCCCTTTCATACAATAACTACTCTAGAGGGCCGTGCACTCGCTCCCAGGTTTATTTTGGATGAGCTGTTGACCTGGCACATACTTCTAAACATAATGTACTGTAAGAATATCACCAATTGTGAAGGGACACCTTAATGAGCCCAGTAATTAGAATCAAAGAAGCCTCCAGGAGACCGACGCGATGTCTGACGCTGAAAGTTTAATTGATCTCGCACAAGAGAGAGAAGAGAGGATGATTTACACAACGAATACAGAGATGCAGTCACCATCAATTCTGAATGTAGTATTTATGGTTAAAAGGGCAAATAGTACATTTCCTTACCTAACGTTGGATCACTTTGATTGAGCCTCAAGTCCCAGTCAACACATTGCTAGAAAAAGAGGCTTATTACCACTGTCTAGGACTTCCTATCTCCCTGGCCTCCATGGCAGAAAAATACAGTCCTTCACATTCTTCACATCAAGAAGAGATACGTAACTTAAGTCCTACTTAATGTATTTCTAACATAAGAAAGAGAGTCTTAACCGTGTTGACAACAGCTGCTTAACCTCACTGCAAAGAAAAGTACATGTTAAATGTATCAGCTGAGTTAAAGCAACTGCTGAAGTGCTGATTATTGAGAAAATAGAATAACCTCACCCTACCAGCATTCAACACACTCCGTCAGAAGTAAGACAACTTGTAGTAAGCTATGAAAATGCGTTCAGCAAAACAAATAAAGCTGCAAGCAACAGTGAGCTCCAAGGCTTCACCAAACTGAACAAAGTCACTTTTCTTAATGTCTAAAGAAGGACTGAGACCAACCACACACGTAGGTGACAATACAGTCAATGGGTTTGACTAAACTTTTTTAAAAGGCTCAAACATGAGTACGAGTAACTGATTTGAATCATTGAGACATCCAACATATACAGTAGCTGTACTGACTTTTTCGGGGGCAAGGCTTAGGAACGATGTCATCAATACTGTCTTTGCTCTGATGTAAAACACCTATACAACATTTGAAATGCCATGCAGTTCCTCCATTTTTGTTAATCTCAGTGAAAGTTCATAAGCTTCTCTCTGGTTGTCAGGTCAGTGAAGCCTCATATCCTCTCCCCGCCTGTCAGTCAAACTAAAGAAGGTTCCCCGGGCTCTGCTAGGCAGTGTGCCTGCTGTGTAGTCAAAAATGTTTGGCAACGGAGAGAAAATAAATAACATTTACATCTGTGTACCACCACATTTGATTTTTTATTGTAGTTGGAAAAGTGCAGCAACGTGTACAACCTGCACATCGCCAATCATAGCCCAATTATTTAAAGATCTGGTAAGTAATACTTGATACAAGTTCCTTCTCTACCAAACTCTACCCATCATCACAGACCACATCAGACCAGTGCTATTTTGAATTGTTTTATTATCAAGCAACATAAACTTAGTTAAAATGTCTTTTAACTAAGAGATTTTGTAACATAATTTACACCTTAGAGCTGTTTTCACACAGCAGGAGAATGCAGTAAGCTGTATTCCATGTATTCAGCCAATGTTTTTGGTTTTTGTATTAGTCAATAGAATTTGGTGGAATGACAGACATACAGGTAGGTCAATAATTTAAATATTTGTTTTTACTGAACTGGAGTTTGCCTGAATATTCTCTTTGATGTATCCCTCCAAAAAACCAACTGAGATGTCAAGATTTTCAATGTTCACATTTTGGTTTTCAATATTTTATCAGAAATGTGATGAAGTCTGAGGGAATGTCATACTTTAAAATGCTATGCAATGAACTCTATTGCAAGGATTAGGGGTTTCACAGCCATATAGATTAAACCCAAATATTCGCTAACTGGATACACTGATTGCAGATGGCACTTGTTCTATTTCTCAACATATGTAATCTGGTCCAATTTATCCATGTCCATTTATTATCTGAACATGTAGGCTTCCTCACAGTAAAAGAGAAAAACTTAAGAAAAGAATAAAAAGCCCATAATCCAGCTGAACTTCAGTGATTGAATGAAGGTTGAGTTTCTTTTACGCTTACTTTATGGTTTAAATTTGCGTTATACTGTCTTTCAAGCTATGGCCTTAAACCAACCCAGCTATGAATGATACATCCAAATGTTTCATTGTTTAAAAAAACAGGGCCCATGGTGTTTCAGGTGAAAAGGTCCTTTAGGGTTAGAGAGAAAATAAATTGCTTATATTTTCTTAAATGAACAGAGCATTCCATTAGAGCACTATTGATTGCACAAATCCCCATGAAACTTGAAACAGTGGCATTCAAATGAAAAGTGAACATGGACGAATTAAGGTGGACAAACTGTACAACATGAGAATTTTAATAGGATTATCTCAGAATAGACTCCTCTACACATATCTGGAGACATGGTGAACAAAAGAACATCCTTCCACAGTTTCTATCAGGTACTTTTGAAAAGCCCTTGGACTACAGCACTTGAATGAAACTGCCGCTTTTTGTGTTTATTTCAAGAGATCTTGTAGGGTCAGTGCAACCCTTGAAAAACGTTAAGAATAAGAAAAAAAGGTTTTATAAGGTCAAGGTGGGAGTAGGTACAAGAATGACTCAAAAAAGACTTGGCTCAGCTCAAGTGGTCTTGTAAGAATACAATGTGCCTGCGTGAAACTGAAATGTAATATATTAGAGGGAACAATTAAAGTTCAATTAACTTAAAGCCAAATTATTTGTTCTTCTGTGGCACATTCATTTTTATTTCCTTAATAAGGTTTTGTCACTGGTATTACAAGGTACATGTTTACAGTATGGAGAAAAGGATTCAACATAAATCAGGGAACTCATTTGATATTGTAATGAAAACATGCAATTATATTCCTGTAAATATTGCTGTGGCATTACTGTGTGAAGATGATTAACTAGCATATAGAATAGATGGTCCAAAAACACTTTGTTATAAAGAACAAATAATCCAATATTCTCTGCGTTAGGCTAATATAAAATGGTGACTGTGTAAAAGCACATGCCTCAAATTAAAAGATGGAGATTAGTAAATCATTGTCCATCAGCTTTCTTCTTTTAGTGTTCATATCAGCATAAACACTGGGTCTTCTTGAATAGTGACAGGAGTGAAATATGCTTCAATGTTTCACTGGTTTAGTTCAGTCACTGAGTTATTCATCATTGAGACACAATACACTTGCCTTATTTCACTGTGCTCTTTATGCTATACCCTACTTTGGCTGGGCAGAAACAAAAAACGGAATATTCAGCACTTTCAAGGCTATAGCGTATCGAGACATTTATTTATAGTTTTGCCTCTATTCTTTTTGTTCTTTTGTCCGCATGCACGTCTACCAACTCCCCAGAAGATGTATGTGTCTTTTAAAAGTAGCTTTGGGAAACATCTGTGGAAAGTCTTGGTTTGTGTAAGCACTGAAAAGAGTAAAAGAGGGTGAAACAGCCTCAGTTTTATTTTATCTATGTCTTTTTTTTGTTTGTTCGCAGCTGCAGTAAGGCAACTGCATGAGTTGACTCCATGAATAACTTGTGTAGCGGGGCCCTGTTATGCAAGGCGTGAAACCTGAGAGCCAGTCACCTGTTCTGCTACCTGAGCCTGGCTCTGAGGACGGATGGAGGAGAGAAGAAGACTAGACGGCCTTACTGTGCTGTCTATGACTCAGCTAATAGACTCACTGCCTTTGATACAGCTTAAACCAGCATTACTAACCCAGAATTACCTTACTAGGATATTCCGTGATCATGTGAAGCTTGTCCACCAGCGCCATCACAGTTAAAGATTTACAGAGGAAACGGGCTCGGCTTCTCTTTCATTTGCAGAGCACATTCGGCTCTAAGTCACTAAGGCGGCTAACATAAGCTCCGGGGTCCTTTGTATGAACATATTGACTGTGTTTATGAGTTGTGCTTTGCTCCTTGATCCCCCCCTTGTCAGCTGAGTGGGGTTTCCACTAGGACTCGAGTAAAGACCTCAGTTTCCGCTCGCCTACCCGATGTGTGGCTGAGAGCAGGAGAGCTGGCTCTGTGGCCCCTGCTGAAAGAAGAGGATATATCTGCAGCCGAGAGAGGAGCAACAGCTGATGGCTTTGCCTTGACACTCGGCTATCAGGTAAGAAGGACACAATGTCTACAGCAAAGGTTGAATGGTAGATTTCAGAATTATGCAATTTTTCTCTCTGTAATTAGTCTCTTTTATTCCCTAAATAAACAAATTATAAAAATATAGCAATGTTGAATTAATTATGGCAATGGTACGTAAGTAAGATTATACCACGTTTTATATGCCATCATCACAGGCACAACCAGTGTATTCTACCCATAATAAAAGACATGACTTTTTAGCAGTGGTAGATAATTAACATTGTTGCTAATGTGTTAAGCATTTCCATTCCTAGGTAGGGATACATCATGTTTAATGTCTGTACAATTAACTATTGAGGCCACTTGTATGTTTTCCTACGGCGAATTTAAACAGATTATGGCCCATGTGATCACATTCCAGTGACCCACAGTCAGGCATTACTTCACGCTTGACTCAGTCTGACTAATTGCTCTAATACAGAGACCAGTATGTAACTGCTGCAGGTAATAACAAGGAGCATACGTCATCCTTACAATTCACGATTCACCGATCAATACTGCATATGTGTTCAGAAAGTAATTCAAATGAAAAGCACACTAGGAAATTAAATACGGATGTGAAAATCCCTCCCGCAATTTCAAGTCATTATGTAGCTATTGTACAATACTCTTTATCTAACAAATGAAAGGGGAAAGGGACAGCATGTAGAGAAATGTGCATACATAAAAGGCCAGGATTAAAAGAGTTGTCTGTTGTCTGTGAATTTTTTTTACCTCACCCTAGCACATGTGAAACATCTGAATATCCACTTTTTTTTTCTCTTAGCTTAAATGAGCTACATTTAAACGCTGGCTGTGCTGATGGGTCTATCTCTCACATCCCCACAGCTCTGCACAGCCTGTCTGCTCCCTAACCAGCTGTAAGTCCCAGGGCCTCCCGCCTGTTCCTGGCACTGTCAGCAGCACAAAGGTTTACTCAATCGCTGGTTTCCGTGCATGCAACAATAACCATATGGTTACCTTAGCCAAACACGAACACTGTCCGCTCTCTGTGAGCTGTCACTTTGTCTCTGCGCAAAAACACACACTGTTTCTGTTTCCTCTGTCACAGACACGTTGGCTGGTAGATTAACGTTCAAAGATAGGGATATTCTACATTTTTATGTGGACAAGACCAAACCCAAAAATATGTCTGTCTCTTAATACTGCCCTGTACTGTCTGTGGCTCTAAGGTCTGGCTCTTTTTATCACTACATAAATCAGAAAATGTTGTAAAAAGTCCAAATTTTTTCACAATTTTTAACAATATTGCTGTAAATACAATACTGTTTATAGATGTGTAAAGCAATGTAAGGAATAATCAACATGTATTTTGGTCGTCCACCATAGGTCTGCTTTGAAACATGCATAGGTTTTATAAGCCTGTACAAATCTAGTGGTGGAGGCTGGTGGTGGAGAGCGCTGGCTAACACCTAAATGTGTTGAGTCTGCATAACATCTGTGTGACTGTGAAGGCCATGCAGCAGTTTATCATTTTCATCATTAACATACATTACCAACACAGAATATGGAAGACTATTTTCATTATGTTACCCAAAACATTTTGCATGTTTGTCTTTAATTTTTCAATCTTTGATGGTATACAACAATGCAGAAAAACCTATACTCTGCTAATACCATACACCCATGTATACAGTAAAATATTCACTTGTTTGTGTTTACTGCATTATTTTGCTGTTTTATGAGTTTTTTTGGTTTTTATTCCCCTTTATTCAAGCCATATTTATTATGTCCTTCAGGATCCTTTTTCCCTCACACAAACAAACTTCTACCCTCTGTGGCAACATTAGAACATTTGTATTACTCCTCCAATTACACTTGCTGGCGTGGCAAAAAATAAATCAAAGGAAAATGGGGTGAAACTGAATGTGTAAACTTCTATTTCAGTGTTGTTGTTCAAGGCAGCATTCCCGTCCCGTGTGACTCACCTCAAAGTGGAACACACGGGGTAAACATAATTACTTTCCTTGTATTCTTTGAACTGTACCATGTACGCAAACATATTAACGGGCCAGCAACATGACTTCAATTTGCAAGGTCTGACTGTGACACTGTTAGACGAAATGAATGCCCTGCACGCTTGAAAAGTTTGTTTAAAGAGTAAATAATGCTTCCATTTGTTATAATCTAAGTTTTATTAGCTGTAATGGCTACGTCAGGCTTTATACCAGCTGAACTGGGAGCAGTGCTCTTGGTGTATCATGATTAAAAAACTGAATTATGCTCAGTGGCGAATAAAAAGAGTCGATAAGCCCCTTTCTATGCCTACTGAAACAAAAGGCCTAAACATTTAAGCTATTGTTTGGTGTTAAGGAATAATCAAAAATATGCAAGGCAAGCATGACAGATAGTGTGAGGAGAGTCTGAGCAGCAGAAATCCAGATAAACAGATTTTTTTTTTTGTAAGTGCTGATGGGTGGTAATGAACATGGCTCTAAGCATGGAATAAATGATGGAAAGATAAAGTGAAGTGCATAATGCGGTGTTCAAGTATTAGCAGAGAGGCTATTTTCAGTGACGAGATAGCTGTATTTTTTATGATGAGTAGGTAAGTCTGATAATTGTGTTCCCTTTGAAGTGGCCATCCCTTTTATGTCATGTAGGGTGTGCGCAGCCTAGTTAAAGCCAGGAGCTGCAGGGATCTAAAGTAGCCTACAGTGTTTTTATTTTGTGTCTTTACAGATGAGAAAATAAAAGACAGATAGTCGATGTCAGTGGGTTTCCACAGTCGGAGATTCCCAAGCCTATCGACACCAAACATCAATGAGGTAAACAGCTCCCGGTGAACTTATCTGTTTACTTCATATGTTGACACTTGCTCGACGGATAAACACAATGAACTAATTCTTCTTTGTTTTACATTTTATGCGAATGCTCTATTAGTTTTAAATGATTGCTATTATGGATATCTGAGCCAGTGCAATCTCACTGTCTTAACTGTTGACTAAAAAACTAATTATGTAAAAACTCCATGTCTTATTATGTAACAAAAATATTGTGTCCAATTATGATGTTTGATATCTGTTCTAATTAGTTGATGTCCTCAGATTTCAATTTCTCTGGTTTGCAATAACACTCAAGCTAGAGACAGAATAACGAATTTACCCAAATTATATTTGTGTAAAACTCTCCTGATATTTACGACTTGGGAATCTGAGCCAACACAAGAGCTGTTTGAAGAAGATGAAATAGTTTGCCTTTCGAACAGAGAGAGAAAAACATGTTAACCTCCATGGTATGCCGTGTAAAGCAGCAGAATGTACTACCTGTTCAAAGTGTGTATGATTTTGTATTTTTAACTCACTTATAAAGAAGCAATACTGAAAAAGGCTAGTGTTTTTTGTGTCTGTGTGTAGACGACAAATCTGTGGGACATTTTAAATGTCATGGATAATTTGTCCCTAAGTGCTGCCCCTAAAGTTACCCATCGTAGTGGAAACAGCAACTGATTAAGACACGCAGCTAGTAAGTTAGTCTGCATTACATCAGCATCTTTTTTTTGGGCACCTCGCCTTTTTTTGCGGCCGCTTCAAGCTCCTCGGGTTGAAAATGTTTAAACTTTTCACAATAAGCACTGGTGACGTCACTGTAGAAATGTAAGGAAAACAAAAAATCTTGTTTGAGCATAGCAGCATGGCGGACACTGACTGTTGCTGCCGGTGAGTGTGTGACTTTTATCTCCTTGTGTGGATTATACTCCTCAATCTACGCCAGTCAGACTGTGAGGTGAAGTGAACTGTGAGAGCAAGAACAATCAATGTCAAACACAAAGTAAAACAAACAAATAATGAAACCTAAGAGGGCAAAGCTAGTCTGTCATGCAAAACAGGGATACCTTGCCAAGATATTGCCATAGAAACAATAAAGCAGGCGCCAGCACCTTTCTGCATGAAAAGGAGCTATGTAGACACAGGCCCTAAGAGAGCAGATAATAAGTCCCTCCACATCACAGCGGCTAACATCTCTCTATTTGAATTCTTTCTTGGCTTCATTTGAGTTACAGAATCGTTCAGTTTGCTGAGGAGCAAACTGCGCCCTTTAAGCACAAATATGACACTTTCTCTCTGTCTGTTCATAGGCCTCAAGTAAAGATGTCACGGCTTCACTGCACAGGAAAGTCCTGTCGTGGACTGTGTGGCGGGGGAAAGAGGAGAAAGAGAGTGTGTCTCTTAAAGCAATAACACACACTTCCACATCTCAGACAGTGGCAGAAATTGGATCTTACAGTGGAGTTTCCAACCTGTTCAGGGCTGCAAGTGTCCCAGATGTGGCGGAAAGGAGTCCAAAGTCAGCATTTTCTTCCATCTCCATCGCAACCCAGAGGATTTTGCCATTACTTTGCAACCCACAGGACCCTGCGTATCGATCCACTCCAACACAGCGTGTTAAGGTTCCAACTCTACAAGAAACTTTCATTCCCACAAGCCCAATGAGAGTCTCAAGTTCTCAACCGGACGTGTGCAGAAAGGGTCCTACCATTGTGATGCCAAATGAGTTCGGACAGGCCTTCTCACACGCTGATGGATTGGCAGTTAGAGATCACGGAAAGACGAAAGTACAACTTGTACGCAGGGTGAGCTTCACAGAGAGTGACAGGAAACAGGATGAGATAGGTGGTTTATTAATGTCTGCACATTCTCACCGATCTTGTATCCATCTCGATATGCCGCTGAGGTCCATTAGCTCTGTTGTGTTTTTGGACAAGTCCCTTTCCATTTCCCTTGTGGAACTAGAGGGAAGAAGATCAGGTCAACCCACTCAGTACAGGTCCAGTTTGTCTGTTCGCATCAGTGTCCAATCCTGCCGCAGATCCTCTGCAGATAACAAAGCGGCCAAAATAAATGAGGGTTACGGGAGACCTAGAACGGCCATGTTGGGTCGAAACAAACACAATGGCCGAGAGAGTGTTTTGGGTCACTGCAGAAGCCCTCTATCACAGCCCAGGGGACACAGGGTCGAGCCAATAGCACCCGCTCATGGTGTTAACAGCAAGGCTGATGATTCAGATATGCAGCAGCAGCACAGCACTGCTCTGGGATTATTGTCATTCAAAGGGCCGGGCCCCTCAGACACAAAGCCTGGCAGGCAGAAGGGGATTGCAGATGAGGAAGCCTTCGCTATCCGGAGCAATTTCAAGCAGCACACTTCTAATATTGGCCCAGGTATGAATTTCATCCTTTTGCTTTAGAAGTTGTACCCTTGCAATTGATCTGTATTTTCCTTTCAGCGGCCCATATATCCTTAAGCTATTTTAGATAAGATTACATTTCCGAACAGCAAGCTGGATGCCGTGCCAAGGTGGTTTTTTTTACTCTGCTCCTGCGTTTGATTTATACCTCATGCATTGTTAATAGAAGTTCACCAACTCACTATACTTTTTCCTACTGTACATTCACATTGTTTAAGGTAAATCCCATTCCAACCATAGATTTAAATAAAGCACCAACACTTGCATTCATTCTTCTCTGACTTCCAACACTTCATAATATAGATTATTAGTTATGAACTGCTGCTGTATATTTTACAGAGTGGGTTGAATAGACTTAATTTGCATGATTTAAAACAGTCTTCGTTCAGGTCTCCTAGGACTAGTAAAATAAGATCAAGGTTATATGAGAGCATTATTAAGAAACATGATTTGGTTTATGCAAGTGAGGATGCATAGATAACATGTTTTATGTCTAGTTCGCGTTTTTAAATGTTAGAAAGTTAAGTTATGGTTTAATGGAGAGTTAGTTTATGGACTAGGTGACTTCCTGGAGTGTCTGCTGGTTAACTCAATGTCACTGCACCTGGCAAGAAATAATCCAGCCTGTTTTCTCCCTATTTACATTCTTTATGCTAAACTAGGCTAACGGTTGCTGGCTGTAGCTTCATATTCAACAGGCAGAAAATAGATTAATATCAATATTTTTATGAAGAAATAAAATAATAGTATTTTACAGCATGTCAAACTATTTATATAATAGTGGTGATGCAAGGGTAAACATAATCTGTTGATATCCATACTGCAGCACTGACTGCAAGTAGGCGGACCTAATCTGTGATTAGGCCTATAAAGTAATGGCAGTGGATGTTGCAGCCAAAATGACAATAAAATGCGATGTCACAGCCTGAAGCACTTTTACCTGCCTGCCTCCCATTTTACCATGGCAGTCTCAAAAGAACAACCGCCACATGACACATTTTAAATTATTAAAGCACTCTCTCCACTCATTACAACATTTATTTCCTGAATCATCCCACACACTTGTGTCTTTCTTCTTATATATGTTTGCTCTTTTCACTGGGCATTTATTCTGATTACAGCAAGACACATCCTGTAGCAGAAGCTAGACTGAGGATTTTACACTTCTGCATGTGCTTCCTGAACCATTCTTTTTCTACATTAAATTCAGTATAGATATGAATTCGACACAAGTTAGAGGAATGAGGTTGGAGGTGTAGGATGGATGCATGGTCATCTTTTGCATTATTCATTGTCCGTACTCGTGTTCCCTCTAGTATTTCTCCTCCCAGAGTTGTGGGGCTTGTGTGTGTGAGAGAGTTTGTGAAGGTTACTTTAAGGTCTTTTTATGTTCCTGCTTTCTCCAGATCATAAAAGCTACTGTAAGATAGAACTTGGGAACATTGGGAAAATCGTGCAATAACTCAGTCTGAGGCGAAGCATACAGTCACCCGGATACATCTACTGTATGTGTTTTATATAACATCAAACAGCAACAAACCACTTCACAAACTGCAAAACACAAATCTATTTCAAATGATTCCTCACTATGAAAGTTACCCTATAAAAGCAATCATGATGTTTGTCTTCGAACCCACTTTATTTTTTGGAAGGATTTGGGTTGCTAAAGTTTACAGACATGTAACTTCTTTCTGTGTTTCTATAGTGGAATCCAGAGTTTGCAGCAAGCAAGCTGGAAATTGCAAGACAGAAGAACAACAAGAAGTTGACGGGTCCCCAGAGCCTCGAAGAGTCTCCTTGAAGAAACGACCGCAGGCTGATTATCTGAAAGGCACACCCAAGACTCTCAGCCTCAAAGTAGGAGCCACATTTTAAATGATGACTTCTTTCAGGAAATAAACTCAATATTGGAACAAGCTAAAGAAACTCCAAAGTAAACAGTGAGCCTTATGGTTTCTTATTGACCTAAAAAATGTGTTTTGCCAAAACATACATCCAATTATGGAACATTTTCAAAAATAAATTGGCACATCTGTCTATTTCAACAGAATGAGTTGAGGAGATGGATCAAATGTTCCGGATCGAATTGTGATCAACTTTGTCACAGGTTAAAACGTTATTGTGCAGGGCAGGTTTTAATCTGTCTATCTTTAGGGAAGGACTCAACAACAACAAAAACAGCTTTTTATGCTCAACATTCTACTTTCATGCAAAAACCTGCTTCATCCATTACCCACAATGCAACTTGACCGAGTGCAGATTTGTAGGAGATACCGGGTTGTTGTGCTCGTTCCAGCTAAAAGGCTAAACATTTCATTTTCAGCCCCAACCAGCAATTGTATATTGATTGTTGTCAACCCCTGTCCATTTTTAACTAGTTTTAAATTATATATGCATTTGGAAATAATACATTACCATAGATAATAAGAAGTTTAGATCATTATTACCTCCACAGATGTTGTTAGTTTTTTTGTTTGTTTTTCAGCATTGGCCCGATTTTTGTTAAAATGGTGGAAGTATGTAGAATGGGTAAAGGTCGGACCAAACACATGTTGGAACAGATCCAAAATCCCCAGGCTGACACACAACTTATTAATCACTTACTGTATGGAAACGGCCTTGACAGAGATATGCACTCTTCAATGCCATTCTAGTTTATTTTGAGAACATACAGTATGATAGACTGTCAGCTGTAACTATAACTTAATGAAAGTCAACATTGGCAAATTGATTTCAAAATGTCCACGCGTTCTATTGCTTTTTATCCATCAAAGTTAGGAGTGTCGAGGCTCGTGAGGATGGAAATACTACATGAAATGGTTTCACAAAGTACACAACCAAGAATGATAACCTAAAAGTCATTTATGGAGTCAAGAAAACACCATGAAAATATGTTTAGTATTCTACACATTGCAACCACACAAGGTTTATGATCAGATGTGGAAAAAGTGAATCTGCCAGATGGAACCTTGAAACCCTCAGGAATGGTGTTTCAGACTATTTCAATTAAGGTTTACCACACAGAGAATCCTAATGTGTTTACTCTTGGATTAAACATTATCCGAACAGAAGCGGCATCTCTTGAGGGGTTGAATTTTAAACTTGGAGGGATTTTTACTTTAGTTGGTTTTTGACACAGCCTCTGCCAAGTAGAAGGGGAACGAAAAAACTATATTTAATAATTACACAATTTTTCATTTTTTCTTCCACCTCTTTCCTATTTTTATTTAATTGTAATTATTACACAGTTGATGTAACAAGTTATATCCCAGCGTTGAGAGATCCACTGAGGTCTATTCCCCCTGTGAGTAAAGCCCTCTTACCTTTATCCCCAGTAAAGCTGAGCATAATTGTATAACGCTGCCTCTACCTCTTAGCTTTTACAAGGCTGTGAAGAGGATTCTGCAAGGTTACGGAATAGATTAGGAAAATGTTCAGATTCAATAAAGATGTGTCTTTCTCTTTCCACAGGATTAATGTCTATGAGTTCTTCTGTGTTGTTCACAATAACAACACAGCTCACTGTAGGTTTCCCTCTCCCTGTGTTAGGAGGCTTTGGAGCTCTTCAGGCCAGACTTCATCAGCCGATCTCAAGGTCGGGTGAGGAGGTTGGAGCAGAGGGTTTCAAAAAGGAGATTGCTGCAGGACTCCAATCCAGACGTGGTGCAGGGCCTCAGGGAGGAACGAGACAAACAGAAGAGAAACTGCACCACACCGGATCCACTTAGTGGTAAGTGCAGCTGAATAACTCTGCCTGGAGCCTGGAAAAACAAAAGTACAATTTCATATCTCTACAAACAATCAGGATAGATCATATGATAGAAGATCATGGGAGTTGTGGAGGAGTAAGTGTGGCATTCAACCTATAGGGATCTCACCCTGCAGCAATTCACAGTCTAGCTCTCTCCCAAGAGTCAGTCCAGAGCTAGTCCTCCTCTTCGACACCCATCTGTCACGATGTTTCATTGGTCGCTACCTCGCTTCTGTAGGGCTTTTACACATTCATCGAATCCTTGAAATGTGACAAGGAAAGCTACTTTATATGTATTTTTATACGACTTTCTTTGCTGAATAGATTGGGAAATAAGTAAATAGGTAGCTGGTGGTCATAATCGAATCATGTTGGCTTTTTAAGGGAACCTTGGAGTTTCTCTAAAATTACAATACAATCAACAACCTCAGCTGGCCTCGAAAAAGAGCTGCTTTTTTACAGTATATTGTTCTCCTTCTAGACTAGAGTCATGACAATTATCCAACTTTGCTCTCTGCTGGCTATTATCTAGTATTGCAGATCAGTTACAGCATTTGATTTCTCTAAGGCTCTGTGAGCAGGGAATACACAAGTTGAGACTTGAGGTGTCTAGAATAAAAATGTGGGGTTTTGTTTTTTCTTCGTTCCAACTTTTATATCATACCAGGAATGGAAAAAGGTGAAAATACAACAACAAAGCGTTTCTCATATAGGAAACAGCATACACTTACTTTTACAAATAATAACAAAAGTGAACTCAAACTGACAATAGGAACCATAGAGGAAGAATTGCAGCCTCATAATGCTAGGGGCATGGAAATCATCTTTCCCAGCAGCATACCGAGTCTAATCGGCGTTTGTCAAAATAGTTTATGTGCAGGTTATTATATATTAAGATTATACACACAAGAGTATTTTTCTTCTTCTCAGCCTGAAGCTGTCAGACTTATAAACTCTAACAAGGCTTTGTTCAGTTGAAATGAATGCACAGCACATCCAACATTTCCTATATTAGTTTTAACTTAAATGTTTGATTCTCTGTCTTTGAGAAAATATGTGATTTTAAAAGCCTGATATGGAATTGATTATCTACATAGTCTCTCGGAATTTTATTAAATGCTTTTTTGGTTTTGAACCTTTTTTTTACACATTCATCACAGCAGATTGTTTTTCACAGCAATTTTCTTTGCAGCAAATCCAACCCGACTCCTGACCGCTTAACGCTTGAGTAAAATGTTAATAAAGGGGGGGGGCATAGCACATTTCAGATAACCGAAAGTTTTGGGAGGTCATTGAGGAGTCATGGAAAGAAGAGCCTTGAAACGCTCACGCTGATGTCTGACTGAAGTCTGAAGTCTAATTATGAACAAAGAGTCTGGGTCCTGTTGACCTGAGCAGAAAACTCACAGCAGCTCAATCTGTGAGAGACAGAAATCTCACATGTAATACCACTGGCTATTGATGGTTGTGAAATCAAATGGATACGTCTTCATGTGCTTGTGTTTGTGTGTGTGTGGAGGGGGGTGCCAATGCTCAAAGGTGTCTGAATAAGAGGGATCAGACAGTCCTCAGTGCTCATTAACATATGCAAGCTTCATTTACATATTAATTCGTATTTGTTGTGTGTGTGTGTGTGTGTGTGTGTGTGTGTGTGTGTGTGTGTGTGTGTGTTTTATCTGATCCGGATGGTTACTAATTCATTTTCCTTATGTCGGTCTTTATTGACCGGGAACACCATGGGTGTTACAAAGTTGACTAAATCATCCAAAATTCGATCAAAGTGGTGATCAGTAATTGTATATGTTCAAATGTCTAGGATATCATAAAGCCTTAAGGCAATCGATTGTAAAACAAAAACGTTATGATTGATGAAAGTAGTAAATCGGTCAGATTTGACCCGAAGACAACAGGAGGGTTAAAGGGGCCCCATGATGCACATTTTCAGGTTCATATTTGTATTTTGTGTCTTTACTGTGACATGTTTACACGCTTTAATGTTCAAAAAGCTCTTTATTGGTCTCCTGCTGCCTGTGCTGCAGCACCTCTTTTCACCCTCTGTCTGAAACCAGAGCCCAGTCTGCTTTGATTTGTCATCCAATAGAAGCGCAAGTGTAACATAGTAATATCACTGTGTTACAAAAGTAAACAAAGGAGTCCAATCAAAGCATTTCAGGCAGAGTGGGAGAGAAAATCTCTCTCGAGGGAACTTTGGGATTTTAGCCTTTGCAAACCATTTACATGCACAAAAATCTATATTACACACTAAAGAAAATAGTAAAAACCCATACATTAGTGCCCCTTATAGGGCTCCTACTACTTGCGACATCTTAAGGGTTTTGGGCAAAGCAGACCTCCGTATCCGCACAATTTCCCATGTGGCCTTATCAACTGAGTTAATGTATTGAAACAAATTACTACCTGCAGCTTTAAAACTTGTCCAGGGAAAATTAGAGACAGCCATAAAGTGCTTATTCATCTCCATGGAATCAGCCTTCAGAAGTAAAGGCAGGGAGTAAATGCAGGAGCTCCAACCTGAATTTAAAGTGATAAAGTGATTTAGTTTCTACTGCTGCTTTATTGGAACCAAATTAACCTGCTTTACAGAGGAGAACGGTGTTAGCCGCCTGCAAATTTGATCACATTTATTATATTTCGCCTTGCTTTGGAGAATACAAAGGGAGACTTTATAATTTTACTCTGGGAGTTGACTAAATTAGAATGATTTCACTATCGCAGAGCTAAACCCATTCACACGGGCAAGCTGATTCTTCTTGAAGAGTCAAGAGTGTGTTTTCCCAACAAAACTTCACACCATATGACAAACACACACGCAGATAGAAGTGCACATCTGCTGGGTTCCTCAGTTATAACAATTAAAACCAAACAAATAAAAAAGATGTATTGTAAATTATAGTCACTCGTTTTTAATTCAGCCTTATTACAAGCCGCCATTCATACACAAATGAAGCTTGTTTGATAGAAGCTTAATGGACCCGATTGTTGTTGAACAGTATTGTTGTTGGAGTGTAAAGCTATTAGCCTGTCATACATCAAGCCCTCAGTGTCATGTGTAATGGCTAAGTGTTTTGAACCAACTGGCTCATGGCGGCATGAATCTTCCTGAAGGCTGGTGATTATTAACGACAGTGGCAGCGCGGAGCAGCCACCTTCAATCACACTGCAGGTAAATCCTGGAAGAAACACGGAGGCAGAGACGGGCCCTTTAATTCCTTTTTGGCTGGGAATTAATCAGCCACGTTTCTAATTTCTCACACCACCAATGTTAATGCCTTTCCTGTGTGATACTCTAAATAAGAGATTAGACGGTACATATGCACGCACACGCACACACGCCATTGAACTGATGACAAACGAGGACGCAGCCGCTTATTTGAATATCAGAGAGAAAGTGTGCTAGCGTGCCAAAATAACCTCCTCCAGCCTGTACAGTAATTACTCTGGAACACAAGAGGAACACATGCTTTATGTAGCATCAGAGGAGGCAGGTTTGAAGATAAATAGAGCTGAAGGTGAAGTAGCTCTAGGAGCATTGTGACGGAAAGACAGGTAGGAGAGCAGAAAACAGAGGCAGAAAGTGGATTCAAAAAGGAACAGAAGAGAAGTTAACAACATTGGGGCTGATTTAGAGGAGAGCCAGTGAGCTCAAAACATCACCATCTTTCTCTTCTTTATCGGACAGACATGCAGGGCAGTTCCTCGGACCATCTGTAACATGAGGACCCAATTGTACAAAATGGCCGTAGCCATTTCTCTGGATGACATTCTACAGATTGGGTAGTTTAGGTATCTGTAAAAATGTACAGAAATGTCTCTCTTTCATAATCATGTTTCTGGCTTTATTTGCATTATTCTTTATTCCTGCCTTCTAGTGTGTATCTCTTGTGAAGTATGTAAAGGGTTAGTGTACTGTCTGTCCAGTTTGCATCGCTCAACATCCCCTTTGAATACCTAAACAACAAAATAGGTTGAGTGTTGTTGCCTTCAAAAATGTATCTGTATTTGGGGTTGCCACTGTATGCCGCACTATCCACAAATACCTCCTCCTTTTGGGGTGCTTAAGCTTTACTATGCTACTTGTCCTTTTTCTTGGAAAATCAATCAATCGGCTGACCATAGGCGGTAACTTGTCAAGAATGTTTTTTTAAAAAAAAGTGATGAAAAATGTGAACAAACTGCAAAGATATGGTTTTCTGGTGAGAACCGTCTTTGTTCATAATAAATCATACTGTAAAGACATTGGGCATCCTGTGTCTCTCTAGAAAACAGAAGGCTTTTAAAAGAGGATCCTTCAAGTATGCCATTTGTTTTACAAATACCTTTCTTCCAATTCAGGCTGTTCACTTGAAATTGGACCTACAGAAAAAATATGACAAACTATATTGAGGTATGTATGAGTGAAACAAAAATGCATTTCCATCCGCATCATTGTGAAATTCTTTGGGCAGATTACCATTCCCATTACCTCCTCTCATGACACGTTATATACGGTTATTAACGTATGTGGATCTACTAGTTTCTGCTTCTTTTTTTATCTTTAACTTCTTATTTCCACATTTCACTTCTCTCTCTTCAACCCCTCTTCATCTCTCTCTCCTATTTCCGGCCAATTCCCACCTCTCTGTGGGAGCACTGATGAGAGTCTTTGCAGTGAAGGTCTCACTCCAGGGGCCTGGGAGAATTTCTTCAAGGGCCACACACACACACACACACACACACACACACACACACACACACACACACACACACACACACACACACACACACACACACACACACACACACACACACACACTTTTTTTTTGTAATTTTTTTTTTTAGCTTATCAATAATAAATTGAACAGTTTTAAACAAGAGTTGATAGCTTTCTGCCTCCCTCCTCTCTCCCTGCTGCTCACTCTTCTCTTTGCGATTCTGCAGGTGACAGCTCTCGCTTCCAACTCAACACTTAATGACTAAATTGGAGCGATTAATTACCCTGATCGGTGATGTTAACCTCCACCTCTGCCACCTGGTCTCTTGCCGATGCAAACAAAGCCGCTGATGAATACCGTAGCCTTGCCCCTGCTTGCCATTCATTCTTAAAACAGAAGCAGTATTAAAAGGCACTGTTTACCCTAACATAATGACAACTACTTTGAATAACACAAATGGGAAGACATCATGTAAACAAAGGGAGGAAGTTCAGATTAGCCTTGAGTAAGAGATAAAACAGAGAGATATGCATGATTGAATAGATGTGGATCAACCTTGAATTTTACAGGCTACAATAACCTCTCCTCTCCACTGACCTCACTCCTGGCTCATCGCCCTTCATCTCGCGTGCCTGTAGCACTTTGTCAGGCTGCTTTGGCGAATTACACATCTCATCACAACCACATACAGCCAGAGGCTCTCAGCAGTCCTCATGCATTACTACTGTAGTGGGACTTTACAGGCACGATCTGAGCCTGACGGAGGAGTCACGCGTCGAATAAGAGGTCCCAGTGCAACAGCTGAGGCAAATTACAGACATGGACTGTAATTACCTCCAGGAAAAACAACCCGCTTCTCATATTTCACAGCCAATGATGGGTTTAATATCTGGATGATATTTGTGAATGTTTATCAGTGCAGCCTGCTCTCTCCATCGGCTCATACCTGGTAACCTACTGTTGCCCATCAAGCGCTGATGGATGCTGTCCTGTCAGCGCAGCCAACTGTTCAAGCAATAGCTGCCTCTCTTCCCTCCATGCCCTCTCTCTCCCCAGATGCAGCACTGGCAGCCCAGGGACACATTTTGATTTTATGAGCTGCTTCGCACATGTTGAATTGATTTTTGTTAGGCTGACGTTGTAAAATATCTACTTTGGACTGGTTAAACATCTTGAAAAGACCAAACAGCAAGTTTAACACCCTTTGAATTAACATTTCTAAAGCATGTTCTCTCTTTTCTTTTCTCTGCTTTGACTGTTCTGACCCAACAGTTGGTGAATAAATGAATTGGCTGGAAGAAAAGAGGATCTCAAAGGCAAAGCCCAACGGAGTGAAGGATGCCTGTGGTGTGGGTAATGTGTTCCTGATAGCAGTTCAATCTCAGTCTGCAGACTCTCGACGCATAATATGTAACATCTAACAGAAAGGGGCAGGAAGCAGTTTGGAAAAATATCAAAGTGTCACAATGTTGAGACACAAATTAAAGTAGGTGACAATAATTGCTATGTCAACAAGACTGTGCGATTTATTAAAAAAGTAATTCAACATTTTGGCAAACACACTTTTTTCTTTGAGTCAGATGAGGAAGTTGATGTTGTATCTATCCATTAAATACAAAAAAATAACTTTATACTCTATTCAAGGAGCAGAGAGAGCATTATGTGTTCCGTTTGTTACAAATCTTGTTTCTATTCCTAATTTCACCTGCTTTCCACTTCAGGCCAACTCAAAACCTGCTCCTCCAAATATTCTGTGCGGCTCTCATCTCCCTGAATACAACTTGCAGGCAACTTTTCTTTCTATCTCATTTTTAATATTAAAACGATGTTGCAGATATGGGTCGGTCATTTTGTTTCTGAGAATATGTTTCCCCCTAGCCAATGTGACAGCTACAAGACCCAATACCTGCTATCACCTGACGGAAGAGGAGGTACAGTTCCTGCATGTGGGGCAAGGGACATAATACTCTCTGAGGAATACACAGAGGGAAAATGGTGTGACCGGTGGTGCAAAGTGTTCTGGTGCAGTGTGTCCGCACAAAATAATACAGGTAGACTTCTTGACATGTGAGATGGCATCAGTGTGTTTGAAAGTGTGGGATGAAAGACATGAGATTGGGAGTTATGGATATTTTTCCAGTGCTATTTTTAAAACCCATTTTCACTTATTTATAAGAAATTAAAGCTTTTGTTTACAATGTCTTGTTACTGTTTTGTTGCAGACTCCCCCCCTGCGGTGTGAAAGAGACTTAAACAAAGAAACAAGAAGCATTAAGACAAAAGCTTAGAACACAAGCTTCCCATGTTAATACTTAGAGCTCCTTAGATGCTCATGTTTTGCGTATGCTTTGTATAATTAATGACAATGAACAAAAAAAGCCAGGCTGCTCCGATATAATGAGTCGCAGGAGAAGGGAGCTGCATGCACACCGAGGCTACATCCAGCAAGAGAGATTTAAATATTACCTGAGGAAAAAACACAGCATCACAAAAGCCACAAAGCACTGAAGTGTGAACAGTCTTAAGAACTCTCTTAAAGGTCACCTATCATGCTATTTTTAGGCAATAGCATAGTTCTCAGATATATACAAATATATAAAAAACATGTCTATGAAGTGTTTTGCTCAAAATACCAAACAGATCACCCATTCTAGCCATGCCTCATATCCCTCTATTTCACTTCCTGTTTAAAAAGTGCTGATTTGGGGTATAAAGCTTTAAAAAAATAAAAGATTGATAAAATGTAAAAGGAGGGGGCTGAGCTCAGGTGGGACCCGGCAGCTACTGTCTAAACTAAATACTGCCGTGATGAAACGCCATATCATGGATTATCAAGGATTCTTTCTGAAACAGTATGGAGCTCAAAGGCGTTCTCTGTTGGCGGTTATACCACAAGGTGAGTTCCTTTTTAGTTCCTGCTTCTTCACACAAATGCTCTCCAGTACAGGTTAGCTCCGAGTGTTAGCGATGCTAATGTGAACACTGACAATATTACGTCCAAAACATTCGGGCATTGTTTCTGATAGCAACTTTCTGATAGTGCCGTGGGTCCACATTTCGGATATATTACGTCATATCGGACGCAAATCTGGATCAGCTCTGTTGTACCCCCGTTTTAAGAGATGTGGGTACGGAGGAAAAGAGAGAGGGTTTTATTTTCTGACGCTGCTTGAGTTCCCTGACACACCGGGGACTTAGAATATTTTTTCGCCGGTCAACATGTCCGTTAAAGTTTAAATCTTCCGGACAAAATTAGAAAAGTGCCGGTCAAAGGTCTTCTTTGTTATTTATTGTGCTTTAAAACAAATTGATATGATTCGATATTAAACAAACTAATTATAGTAGATTAACTACAATATTCAAAAGTTTACAGTAATTTACAATAACACGGGAATAATAAACGGAGCGCTCTCTCCCTCTCCTGGCAGCCCGTCAGTATCATGCTGCTCGCGGATCA